CCGTTCTTCGGAGTACTTCCGGCCCCGCCTGGACAAGGTCCTGTGCAGCCTGCTGTGGGTGACCCTGCTTGGGCAGGGGGTTGGGCTGGGTGACCCACAGAGGTCCCTTCCAACCCCTGCCATTCTGTGATTCTGTGAAATAATCTATGTTATATTTTCTGCCACCAGCCATCTACCTCCTCCAGTTCACGCACTTCTGCTCGTCTCACAGACGGCTAGCAGCACGTTTCAAAGGACACCAAAGTTTTGATTATCAAGGTGATACGGCTCTGCATTTTCCCCAGCTGAGAGCCTTCCTTTCTTTTTAGCCCTCAACCTTTTCCCCTGCTACAGCTGTCAAGTCCTGCGAACAAATCCACTTCTCTGTTCGAGTCAGAAAGTTCCCGGCAGGTCAAAATTGTGTAAAACATACTGTGCACATCATCATAAAATCATGTATAATAGTAACGCACCTAGATAAAATCCATGACTTCAGTCCTCACGAGGTAAGAACGTACCTCTTGTGAAAGAGGACAGTGATATCCACCAAAGTCACGAGTTGCAAAAACTGTATTTTGTTTTCCAAGTCCCAGTTTAAAGCCAGAATAAATTGACCTTTGCCTGTGTTTAAAAACAAAAGGCAAACTTTCCAAAGATGGTCCCAGCCATCCAACCTACCGATCAAGTTCAGAAAGTCCAGTAGAGGAATGAAGTCGCCCCTACAAAGGCACCAATCCTTCCCATGATGACTTAAGACAGGCCACAAATGCCCTCTCCAGGCAGACCAGAAAACCCAAGGTACAGCTCCTTGGCCAAAATCCCGTTGCTCTGATGCTGCAGAAGCCCAGACTCCAGAACGCCGTCGTTCACTTTACAGAAGGCACCATGCTGAAAGCGGCAGGCTTTGGTGGCCTCTCCGTTTGGACCATCAAGGTGAGGGCGTAAGGAGAGAAACCGCACTGTTGCCCGTAAGCTGCTGATGCCACAGGGGTTGGCAAGTTCGAGGAGTTTGTCCTTCAAACGAAGGGAACGTCTGAAGCCGGCGCGCACACGCTCCTGTTCACATGACAACAGGCCACAGCAAGGAGTGTAAGTTCTCAGCGCCGAGCCAAAGCTTACCTCCCTTGAAGTGGTTCCCCTTCCAGCCCTGCTCTGAGCTCTGGCCCTCTCACCCGAGTCCCACAAGCCCAGCACACCAGAGGCACCATATCATGAACAGAGGCCACGGCTGGTGGCAGCAAGATGACTCCTCCACTAGCAGTGGGTGCTACGAGGAACACAACTGCCTTTTTTTAAAGTACAGAGAATTTTCCAGCTTGCTCAGGAAACCCTCAACTTGCAATCGCTTGCCTGGGCCATGGTAGTGTCCTTGCTAGTTGTCACCTTCGGCCTCAAGCAACATCTGAAAAAACAAAAAGGGAACACTTGCCAAGGACACCAAGGGAACGGAATCGTTCCACAACATTTGAAATGTACAAACTGTTTGCCAGAGAACACCTAAGAGTTACTAGCCAATAAACCATAACCCTTTTTTTAATACATTATTTAATGAGGTTTTTTTAAGAAAGAGATATTTTGAAGCTCAAATTACAATAAAGTACAATCTTCTAGACCTACAGCAGACAGGGCTATAAACTTTTACCAAACTGGGTATTTTCATGTTTGTTCCTCTGCCGTTATTGTTATTATTTTAAGGAAAAGAAACTCAAAATCTTGTTAACAGCAATCCTGTCCTAACTTGGCTATCTTACCCTAGCACAGCATAAGGAGACAGCAGCCTGTTCTCACCGTTCTCTCCCAAAACACAGACCAAATGTCAAGCAGGAGCGAGACCCTGTCAGGACCACGCACTAATTCAGCTTTTTAAAGAGTGACAACTAAAACAGAGCAGTCGGCTGGAGGCAAGATTGAAAAAGGATGTTGCTCCCTTCCCACAGGAATCACCAAAAAATGCCCTTTTGCTAACAAACTGCCATTGAACTCACGTTCACTCAACAGATCCGAACAAATCTGAGTCGAGGTAAGGTAGCTTCCAATTCAGTTTTCCACCTTCTCCTTAGATTTCCCCTCTTCTCTCTGCATCCAGTGGTTTCTTTCTCCCTTCATCAGTTCTACCTTCAGTGACTTGGTCCCAGCGGGACAGAGCCAGAGCCCGGCTCCTCTGCGGTCTTCTGACATTGTCAATACTGTGGCAAAGGGCAAATCAATAGCGCTGAATTAGTACTGAGAAAAAAAAAAGCAGCAGGTCAATCCCTCAGAGAGCTGTTTCGTATCTTCTAAAGGTCACTCTGCACGGCCTTTAAATTGTAAAAGTCCACGTGAGCTTCTGCAGTTGGTGTAAAAATGCGATCGAGCCGACAAAGTCTCAACACGTCTCGGTTTCAACCCAGCAGCACGCTGGTGGACCACGGCCAGCTACCGTTTGAAAGCCGCCGCTCAGCTACTCAGACATCAAAGCAGACATCAGGTGTAAATTCCATATTTATTATAACAAAAATTATGACATGTTCATTTGTGCATTCGGCTTTAATATAACTCTCGGTATGTCAATGTCCTACGGCGACTGAGCTCTATACAGTCATGCTGGTTGTGGCAGCAGTAAGGAACACAAACAAAACGTGTCTGTAAAAGGAAGGAAGGGACGAGACCGGAGGGAAAAGTGGGTTTCTTTAAGTGGGCGACACCACCTCGGCTCTAGCGAACTCGTACACAGCCCTCGGTCCGTTCCGCCCAACGAGCACGGCCCAGAGGGTCGCTTCGGAAAAAAAAAGTTTTTTTCAGGTTGTGTCCTTAATGCCAAGGCTACAAAACATGGAAGCGTCACTATACAACACTCAGCTATTTACAGGAATTTCCCAATCAACTGTTCTCTCAGAGAAAATTAGTGAATCTCAGTGACTTAAGTCACCTGAAAGAGTAAAGCAACTCCTAGGAGTTAGTCTCCGTATTCTACAAATGTCTATCATTTTCAAGACCAAAAAAAGCCTTTTCTCTCAAAGAAATACAGTATTACAATATTACTTAATTCATTTAGCACTGGCTTTATTATTATTTTTTTTTTATTTCTTTTTTGTTTTTACACTTGATATGTTAAGGGAAGGTTAACTATTTTAAACTTTACCGGTCAAGCGTCTCTAGAAGAAAGTCAATGAATATTAAACCTATCAAACTGAAAAGCTGCAGTTATTTCAGCTGCTGGGCAGGAAGGATAAGGCTTTGGAAAACAAAATTTCTATTTGTTCATGCAAGTACTGTCTGCAGTTCATTGCAGAGTTAGTAGAAGCCTGGATGTTTCCACAAGCTGGCAGACCACTCTTTTGCCTTAATGATCATATGTTTTTCCTTCAGCAGTGGAACCCTGGCCTGATAACAAGCTGCGATCTGATAAATGTTGTCATGTGCTTCATGATCTCCTTGACTTCTTCTTCGAGCTCCGGGGGGATGATGAACTGGTCGTCGGGATCGGGCTGCGCCGGGGCGGCAAAGTAGCCCCCCGTTTTTCTGAGCGGCGCATCCGCCGCGACTTCGATTAAGTTGTGGCTCCTCTCTTGCGGCGCCACGCTGCTTCTCCTTCGCTCGGCTGCAGTGGATGTCCACCTCCACTTCCACGCGGCTGCCGTTGGTGAAGACCCCCTCAATGGGCTCCTCGTCATCGCTGTCAAGGCCGTTGTCGGAGAAGGCGCTGGAGAACGTGGCGCTGGAGAGCTGCCGCTGGAAAGAACTGGACAGGCAGACGGGGTGCAGCATGCAGCGCTGCTCCCCCGGGTAGGCCGGGCTGTTCTCGTTCATGGCCACCTGGGGAGGCTCGTCGGAGGCCGTGGACCCCACCTCACTGCTCATTTCAGAGGTGGAGATCTCGCTGCTGATCTCCGAAGCCATGCCGCTGCTCGAAGACGGCATCCCGAGCGCATCTGCCGGCCTGTCCTTGATGACCACGTTGACAGACTGGGGGAAGATGCCCGGGCTGGGAGGTGGGACCCCATTAAGTTCACAGCAGCAGAAGCTGTCCTCCGTCACGTTGAGCTGAACCACGACAGCGCTGATACTGTCGTTGCAGCCGTAGCTCTGGGCCAAGGTGCAAAGCTTCTTCGCGGCTGCCAGCGCATCAGGCACGTTTCTGACTGCCTCCACCGCTTCGTCCATCGAGAGGCTGTCCCACAGCCCCTTGCTCCCCAGAATGAAGAACTCATCTTGCGGAGTTAAGGTGATGGACTGGACGTGAGGACGCGGCACAACGCTCGGGTGAAGGAAGGTGTACCCCAAAATTCTTGTTGAGTCCGTCACACCGTTCACTTTGCCATCCTGAAACGAGAAAGGACAGGAAACTGGAGACGAAGCCGACAAGGATACACGGCATCTCCTTGCCTTTCACCAACAGTGAGTATCTGGAGATATTAAAGTGGGACCCAGCGACAGGACAAGGGGCAATGGGCACAAACTGAAGCAGAGGAAGCTCCAGCTGAACCTGAGGAAGAACTTCTTCCCTCTGAGGGTGACGGAGCCCTGGCCCAGGCTGCCCAGGGAGGCTGTGGAGTCTCCTTCTCTGGAGATATTCCAGACACGCCGGGACAAGGTCCTGAGCAGCCTGCTCTGGGTGACCCTGCTTGGGCAGGGGTTTGGGCTGGGTGACCCACAGAGGTCCCTTCCAACCCCGACCACTCTGTCATTCTGTGATCAGAGCACAGGAATTGCTGGTTTGCAACCCTGCGCTACGCCTCCTACACCCGACTCGTTTGTCCTCAGCATCACCTATGGACAGACCAACACAGCAGAAGTCTGCAGCAAAGAGCCATCTATTCTGCTCCTGCAGCTGCGAGAGCCAGCTGGACCAGCGCTTCACCAGTGAGTCAGACCCATCCCTCCGCCACCCACGGCATCTGGCTTCGCACACGGCAAAGCCACACGCAGCTCCGTCTGACACAGGGGCAGGTCATTCAGTTATGACTCTTCTCTTGCAGCTGTAACAACCCTAAGTTTCATCTTGGCTCATCACTTCGGAAACAAAAGTTCATTTAAAAAAGACGACTTTAAATGAAGCATGGAAGTCAAATGCAGCAGAGAGCAAGTCGGCGCTGCCCAGTCAGCTGAGCTGTAGTGAAATGGTTTACATGCCCCAATTACTACGTTTCCACTTCGCTATGACATTTCCAAGGGGAGGAGGAGTAATATCTGAAGGGAAAACATCAGCAAGCATGGACCTATCTGAGTAGTGAATCCCAGCACGCCCAAATCCCAGGATCCTGTCCTAGTTAGAATCCAAGCTGCCAGAATAAGCAGAGCAAGTGTCTGAGACAGCAAGGCCTGTTTCTGTCAGCGTGCTGGGGACAGCTACACCCTGCTAACTGCGTGCTCGAGAATAACAACAAAGGTGAGGATTTACACTCATTTGGTCCAGCTGATGACTGAAGTGGTTATTATAAAGCAGATAACCACAGAAAAGCGAACCAAGACCAAACAGCTTCCCCTTTAAAACCACTCAGAAGATAAAAAAACCTTGTCGGCTTGTTGGCTTCCCCATTAGAGGGCTGACAGCAGTGACAAGCCATCAACGTGCACGGAATCAGTGAGTCATCTGAAGATTCAGCGCAGAAAATTCCCTTTTCCTCTATGGAACAGCGCAAGGAGCGTGCCTCAGTGATGCACACTAGGTTGGAGTGACTCCCTTCCAACTTGTCACATTGGAGATCCCACTTGTCACCTTTCCCTGGCAAGATCAATAGGCACGTGACTATACACACACACACACGAGAACTGGCTGAATGGCAGAGCTCAGAGGGTTGTCACCAGCAGCGCTGAGTCTGGTTGGAGGCCGGTAACTAGTGGTGTCCCTCAGGGGTCAGTACTGGGCCCAGTCTTGTTTAACTTCTTCATCAATGACCTGGATGAAGAGTTAGAGTGGACCCTCAGCAAGTTTGCTGATGACACCAAGCTGGGAGGAGTGGTGGATACACCAGAAGGCTGTGCTGCCATCCAGAGACCTGGACAGGCTGGAGAGTTGGGCACAGAGGAACCTGATGGAGTTCAACAAGGGCAAGTGCAGGGTCCTGCACCTGGGGAGGAACAACCCCAGGCACCAGTACAGGCTTAGGGTGGACCTGCTGGAGAGCAGCTCTGTGGAGAGGGACCTGGGTGTCCTGGTGGACAACAGGTTGACCATGAGCCAGCAGTGTGCCCTGGCTGCCAAGCAGGCCAATGGGCTCC